TCCACCCTCGTTTGTTCAGTAGATTGTTTGATTAGTCCACCCTCGTTTGTTCAGTAGATTGTTTGATTAGTCCACCTTCGTTTGTTCAGTAGATTGTTTGATTAGTCCAACCTCGTTTGTTCAGTAGATTGTTTGATTAGTCCACCCTCGTTTGTTCAGTAGATTGTTTGATTAGTCCACCCTCGTTAGTTCAGTAGATTGTTTGATTAGTCCACCCTCGTTTGTTCAGTAGATTGTTTGATTAGTCCACCCTCGTTTGTTCGGTAGATTGCCCAATTTCTTGATCCGATCACCCCCATTATTTCACTTGAATGCTTAATCAGTCACTTTCGTTAGTTGAGTACATTGTCTGATCAGTCACACTGTTTAGGTTAGTACATTCTTAGATCATTCACTCTTGTTAGTTCGGTACATTGTTTGAATTTGATCAGACCACCCTTCATAGTTCAGTACATTGCTTGAATTTGATCAGATTACCCTTCATAGTTCAGTACATTCGCAACCGTAAGGTCGTGGGTTCGAATCCCGTCAGGGGCCCGACGTTGTTTCCTTGGGAAAGGCACTTTACACGAATTTTCCTCACGTCACCCAGGTGGGAATGGGTACCCGGCTATAGACAGCGAAGGAACTTATCAGTTTGCTAGTGTTTGAGCGCTTAATCAACTGCTCGCACTGTATGCTTCCCGGGAAGCTGAGAATGTTTCGGAGTGTTCAGAGGGCTTTCACGGCGGAGTGGGGCAGGCAAGAAGTTCTACTGTCTCTAGTCTGTGCTGTGGTATTAATTGTTAAGTGTTCAATTGTTCAATAGGAAAAGGATGGGGGAGGGGGTGAAGAGAGCTTTCACCACGGCGTGGCAGGCAATAACTTCTACTGTGTACCGTCTTTATTGTGGTATTTTTGGGATGTACAATGGTTAAGGGGAGGAAGGCTTTTTTTTAGAGCGGTTATTCACCTATGTTCTGTCATTTGTCCCCATCATCGTCATCATCATCATCATCGTCATCATCATCATCATCGTCATCATCATCATCATCATCAAGTTTAAGATGGTATAAGAACTTTGTAAATGAAGAGCTCAGCCCATGTTGCCGAAGATGCGGCCATGAAAAGGAGGATATCAAACATATGTTTGAATGTCCAGGAACAATGGCAATTCGAATGGAGTTATTTGGACGAGTGGAGGTGCCGCTAAGCATATTGACAA